CTTATAGGACTTAACCCTGAGTTTGGTATTACGAGACAAAATATTCTAGCCAAGGATGAAGTAACTCTTGCTCAAGCATATTCTATGGTGAGCAGTGAAGAGAGTAGGCGGCAAGTACAGGTACAGGGACCACCTTCAGAACATTTTGCACATGCTGGAATAAAACCAAAGGGGCCGATTGAGAAGAAAGAGGTGATGTGTGTATACTGCAAGAAACCAAAACATACTAAGAATATTTGTTGGAAACTTCATCCAGATCTTCTCCCAAAAAGGTTTCGGAATAACAACAACTTTAAGAAAAATGGTCAACCTGTGTTGAGAAAGTTTAGGCAATGGTGTTTTTAGTCTTTTCCTCTTCTCTTTGTACTCTCTTTGTATTCAGGTGCCCAAGTAGGGGCCTAATTGTAATTTCTTGTTTCAAAATATAAAGTGCCTTTTGAGAGTGTGAACAATAACAAAAGCACACCACTCGACACATTCTTCTTCTTCTCTCTTTCTTTCTTTCTTTCTCATACAAACCCTAGATTTACAACACTAGTTTCACAACTTGGTAACAGAGCAGGTAAAGGCACTTGGGAGTATCTTTCCTACTGACTCTATTCGACGAGATGAATTGCTGATGTTGGACCGCCGCCGGATGACGTTAGTAGTCCGTACAAGTGTCAGCAACAATACATGGATCCTACATGGTTTGATTTGCCCTGATTTTAGAAGATTTTTGGTATGACTCCTATCTCTATTTGAAGCTTCTATGATTTTTAGTGGCTTTTTTCAAGCAGAAAATTGTAGAAATTCCAAATCTGATGTCGAGCCTTATACACTGTTTAATCAATTGTTCTGCTACAAAACCTAGACCATTCAGGTCATTTTTCACTTTGGGAGCAATGGGAAGGGGTTCAGTAATTTTCTAAGCCCTAGACAATTTTTGGGAGATTTTCTTCTCCCTCTATTTTGCCGCCAACCTAGTTTTTTGGCCTTTTTTGTCTCCTAACCGTGTGGTGACCTAGTTTCTTGGGTCCTTAGCTGTTGTTAAGTATTGGGGGCCCTTTTTGGTTGACGCAAGTGTTTTGCTAGAATATGGAATCATTTAAGGATGTACAGATGGTTTCCAATGTGCTCTCGAAAAGTGTAGACATTTCCAGTGGTATGATAACTATAGTTAAACTTGATAGAACGAACTTTTTAGAGTGGTTCCAATCTGCTAAACTTACCATCAATGGGAGAGGTAAACTGGGATTCATCACAAGAAAGGAGGTGAAGCCAAACCTAGAAGATCCGAAATATGCAAAGTGGGAATAGGACAACTCCCTTGTAATGTCATGATTAATTTGCTCAATGCAACCTCATATTGCCCAAAACTACATGTTTCTTCCAATGGCCAAATATATTTGGGATAGAGTTGTTGCCACCTATTCCCAAGTTAACAATACTGCTAGAGTGTACCAGCTTTAAAGGGAATATTGTAGTATGTGTCAAGGAAGAGATTTGTTGCTATGTATTTCTCTTCTCTACAATCTATCTAGGAAGAAATGGATCACCTAAAGGCACTTACAATATGCGTCAGGGGGAGAGAGTTGTTGCTTGAATCTAGAGTTTGATTTTACCAAGCAACATATTCTTAGTGCCGACCAAGGATTTAAATATCGACAAGATACACCCGGTACGGGGCATATCATATCGGTATTGGTTGACAGCGGTACAGGATCCGCTACAAATAGAAGCATATCTCATAAGTTGTTTGTATCGCACTGACACGGATGCGTATCAGCCTGTATCGTATTAAATTGGCCGGTACGCATCAGTACAAGGCGATACGCACGAAACGCCATGTCTCTAAACTTCATAAAAAATGCACATATAACGATACGAACCCAACTCATTCGAACGCGCCTATCTTTTGCCACACTCTAAATAGAATAAAATACGTGTTTAAATTTTATTAAGTAGAATAAAATAATTATAATATGACGTGTTTATTCTATTTTATTAAATAGAATAAAATAAATTATATTACCTTTTTTGTGTCAACATACAATTTAAACAAAAAACACGTTTATATTTAACAATTCTAAATATTCCAAACATTATTCAAAAATAGTATTTTATAAATTAATAGAATAAATAATCTATCAAGTCCATATTTATATAAAAAGATGATTTTTAATATCAATAAAATTATAATAAAATATTAATAAAAATAATTATTTTAATATTTAAATTGCACATGATATGCATCTTAAATTGTTTATATATTTTTACAAATTATTAATTAATATTTTAATTTACATTAATAAGTCATCACAACATATTTATTATTTATAAAAAATAAAAATATTATTTACAAAATATTGAAGAATATAATATTAAATTGAATCTATCAAATCCACTATCTACATTTATTTCAAAAAATGATTTTTTTATTTCGAATTATTTATAGAAATAAAAATATTAACAATGGAATAATTATTTTAGTAATTAAAAAATATGAATTTGTATAGGATATGTATCTTAGAAATTTTAACAAATTTGATATACTTTAATTTAATATAAAATATTATATATAATATTAAGTGTCATATTAAAATATTTATATATAAAATACATATATTTAAATATATGGGTTGGACCAACCCTAAACACAAAACCTAGGCCCAAACCTGGAATTTCCAAGTTGGGTCGGGCTGAGATAATCACCCCTAGATGTTTGTCAATAAATGGTAAAATTGATTATTAAAATTTATATGTTAACAAATATTAAGATTTAAGACATTATTTTGATTTTCTGAAAACCAAGGTAAGGTATATATGTACACATTTTAGTTTTTCCGTCATTTTCAGTAGTTACCGATTGTATTCTGATGTCTCACACTTCATGTAAACCATTAAAGTAAGGTTTTTATGTTTAAATAACTTATTAACTTATTTATGGTCATATATACCAAGTGCTTCTTGTTATTAATATACTTTTTAGGATTTATTTGAGTTTCATAGTGTGCATATCTTGGTTTTACATTTGTATCTATTCGTATCCAAAGTGTATCCTGGTATGTCTCTTAAAATTGCCTTCCGATACACTTTGCATTTCTATTATTGAGCCTTGCATAGTGGTATGTTTCTGTGATTTAGTCCTTATCTACATTATATAAATAGAATTGTATAAATTGATAATTAATAGACAATCATAATTGGTATGTAGACTAAATGTTCTCAACCGGTGAATAAGATTGGGCAATTTATTCTGACAAGGTTGACATGCTTGTACTGCCTTGAGAGGTGTAGTTTGTCACAACCATTATGTTAAGACCCAAGGTGCAAGTATGGGTGTTTGAGAAACACTGAACTGGACAATTCCAAAGTATCCTAGACTTTGTGATTGTTGGAATATCTGGATTGTTACATGTAATGGTCAAACTTGATATGGGTACCTTGCTGGGTGACTGATCTTTCTACTTTTGATGTGCCAACTAGTGGGATCCTTTTGGGTTGATACCTCGGTATATTGGAGCAATCAGGAATGTGTTTGTAGTAGGTGATCATTGTGACAAGATCTATCACTCTGTTAGATAGAGAGCATACCATGAGACATGTTTTCTCTGATGGATACCCAAATTTGTTGATAGTGGATTTCAAATGAAGTTTGAAATTGGTTTTGCAAATTTTATTTATTTTAATAAATAGTATATTTTCTAAAATGTTTTGCAAAGTTGTTTTCCCGGGATTCCATCATGGTAGAAAACATAGCACTACATTTTACAGAATAGGGATTAAGTCCTTCCCCAAATCACAGTGTTGGTATTGCTGACAGAAGGTTTATTATGTAAGTGTTTTAAGAACTAGAACCTGACAAACATGATTCAAGTTGGACCATTACTTAGGCTTGGAGAGTGGTTACGCCTAAACCCTGCAATGTTAGACTTTAATGGGCTTAAGTGTAGGCCCATTTTACCTAGATGATTGCTCCTACAATGATTAGGATAATTCGGCAAGGGTGGACCCCACCTCTTGAGATCAATCTTAGGATTGAGGGAATCCCATGATAATGGTCTCCATATCTGTAACTCCTATGGGTCCTATGCAATCTTCTTTTCTTAATTGGACTCAAAATCTTCTTTTGTTTAGCAAGTTCCAAATTTGTTTGAGCTGGACTAGCACAGTCCTAGTTGAACTAGAACCCTCTAATTGTAGAGAGATACTCCTCACCGGTTTAGGCCTAGGGAACTGCTTTTAGCAATTTTCCCTCTCTCTAGGCATCAAATTGGGCACCCTTTAGAAGCTTAGGGAGGTTATATATGTCTCCCATTGGGATTCACACACACAATAGACCTCCTAAAAGAATTCAGTCATAGTTATAAGAACCTTTAGACTCGTGTAAACAACTTATTTTCTGGTCCAATCTCCTCCATCGAAGATTGTCTTCATACTCAAACTGCTGGGGAACCAATTGGAGAATACAAAGAAGCATCCATTTCTGCAAGACATACGGTTGTGCCACTTACAGCTGCTTGCTAGGATCAAGAGAAAGGTTGTAGTTTGAAGCATGAACACCCTAGTGACCATATGCACTTGTGGTTGGATTTGTGCATCAGGTAAGAGTTATATTAATTGTTTTGGTCTAAAACAAATTCATTCTTCTCCTCTTCTCTTCTTCTCTACTTATTTTTCAACCATTACATAGTTTTTCTTCTTGTTTTACATTTTCTGAACTGAACAAGCCTAGACATTAAGATAGGAATCCATCATCACCACTTCCAAAAATATAATTTACTATTTACTAAGGTCCAAATCAACTTCAACTTTACATAGTGCTTGGGAAATTGGGAAACATGGCGGGAGCTTCTTTGGGTATTTCTTTTTTTTTTCCTCTTCCACTTTGGCCATACTGCTTGTATCCTTTACCCCTTTAATGCGAAATTTCCTTTACTACTATTACAAATAGTTTCCAAATTTCATATAATATATTCAGAAGAACAATGTGAAATATGTAGGTACATGAAGATTACCTGTCCAGTCTGTCTGTTCCTGCTAATAGTAACAGCTTTGGCACAGGACATGAGAGAAACTTTTCAGAAAGCCCTTCATACCTGGAATATTAGGAAAGTGTGTATCAGTTAGTTAATATAGGTTTAATGGACCTGCATCTTGAATTATTAAAGAAAATACTATAAGAAAAAAAAGGAAAGAGTAAATAGAGAAAGATAACCAAGACATTTCCCACATCACATAAAGCAAAAGTAAAGACAAGAATCATTCATCAAAAAAATAAAGACAACAATCCCAACAAGGAAACCTAGGCATGAGGCATTTGGGATATGACTATTAAATTCAATGGATTAAGAAACATAGTGATTGATATACCAAAAACTTAGTAGACATTGTAGTTAGGCAAGGACTCACAAACAAATAAAACCCCCAATGACCAACAGCTTGTGTTCCACATAACAACATGGACCCCCTAACCTGGAAAGACATTCAATAGACCAACTTGCCCCCTATGCTCCCTTCCCCACCCAAGTTGATGTGATTGTGCTTTCTCCCTTTACTACCCTTCTTTTCTCACATGATTCTTCAAATGACTATATCTAAGGTAGCCCAACCATAGTTCTCAAGGTGGAACCTAGGCACCTGCCTAGGCCACAAGGTGCCCTTGGAGGGTCCCCTCACCTAATCAACAAATCTTCTTCTTCCACCCTTTCTTTTCTTATTTTCTGATAACAAAAATAGGGCTTCAGCTCCTATATTTTCTGAATTTTCTTTTATTTTTTCTTTTTCTTTTTCTTTATACTTTTCTTATGAAAATTATGGATAATTATTAAGGAAATATGGTTCCTAGTTACTACGGAACCTAGGGAACTACCCTAGGACATATTACTTTTAATTAAAAAACTGAATTGCCTATGCGAGTAGGCAACAAGGTGCCCCCAATCTCCTAGCCACACCTTGGTGCCTTGAAAAAACTATGAGCCCAACAAAATATCCCCTTCCACCTCACTTGATTGATAAACCCTGACTACTCTTTCAAAACTAATAACATTAGCTTCACATATCTCACCACCAAACGCGGAGGCATGACGCGAGGTGTTCCACTACCTAGAGGTATGAGGTGTAGTTCAGAACGTAAGAGGTGTAAACCTTCTAAGCACAAAGAGGCATAAGCCTACTTAAGAGGAGGGGGAATGAGGAGGAAGGAGGATCTCATTTTTCTTTATTTTTTTTGATAAATGAGTGATATTTTATATTCATAAAGGAACAATATGATAATACAATACAGACTGCCCAAGGAGAGGCACGAGCTGGTACTTCTCCTAAACAACAACCATGTATTACATCAGACTAGGAAATGAAAATTTACAGAGCTGCCCAGAATAAATGTTCCCATTATGCCTCTTGCTTAGCTAAGCCATCCGCTATGGTATTAGCTGTTCTACCCACCCACTGAGAATTAACAGTCATGTTCCCTTGATGCCCCTTGCTTAGCTAACCCATCCACTATGGTATTAGCTGTTCTACCCACCCACTAAGAATTAATAGTCATGTTCCTTGAAAACCAATTAACTTTCCTTAGAAGGTCCCTATAGTACCATATAACTGAATCTAAATCTTTTAACCAACCCACAACTTTGGAGTCTCCTGCCATAACAACTTCACCAATTAGTATCAAGGATTAAAATGTCAATATGATACGCCAGATACGAGGCATATTGTATCAATATCAAAGTAGGGCGATACAGGATACGTATCTCGTAAATCACGTGTATCGGATCAATACGTGTGCTTATCGAACCGTATCACATTGTATCGGCCGATACACACTGATACACAATGTCTTCTATTAAAAATGTAAACAATGCTAATAGCATGATTTGAACCCGAAACACTACGCTTGTGGCACCAAAAGTCTTAAACCCGCCATCAAACCACTAAGCCATGTCATGCTTTGTGATATTTAACGAAATAAAATAATTTTTATTAATGCCTATCCAAACAAATAATCAATATTTATGTTTAACAACTCCAACTAAAAACTAAAATATATAATATTTAAAATTAGTATTTTATAAACAAATGGAATAAATAATCTATCAATTCTATATTTACATCGAAAGATGATTTTAATATTAAGAAATACCTACAAATGAAATATTAATAGTAGAATAATTACCTTACTACTTAAATTTATAAATATGCACTTGATATATATCTTACAAATTTTATATATTTTTAGAATTATTAATTAATATTTTAATTTACATTAAATGACAATATATTTATTATTTACAAAAAATAAAAATTTGTTTACAAGATAGTCAAGAATATAATATTAAATTAAATTTATCAAATCCACTAATTTACATTTATATAAAAAAATAAATTTTTTTTAATTTCAAAAATTATAAAAATAAAAATTTTAATCGATTTGATATATTTTAAGTTAAAATTATATATTGTTATAAATTATTAAATGATAATTTAATTTATATTTGAGAATTTAATATTCTGTTACCTTTTTTGTTTATGTGAAAAAGTAAAAATAATAAAACAGAAAATAATTGATATAATAATTAGGATAAATATAATAGGTCCATCATGGACTCTTAATTAATGCATTGTATGATATCTGTGCATTCTGCTATATTAATTATAATATATTTTTATGTACACCATTAAATATATAAGTCTTATATATTTATACATTATTTATGGCCATTTGACCATAAATTTAGTGTTATTCATGTATTTATGAAATTTGCACATGTTTCCCTAGTGTATCCAAGTGTTTCCACGTTTTTCGTCTGTATCCATGTGTTTCCAAAGCGTATCCATATCCGTATCCAAGTTGTTTGATACGATACTCAATACCGATACTTTAATCCTTGAGTAGTATATAACTAGTGGTTTCTCGCCCTACCTTGGAGTGTTTGCATCATTCTTCAACTTGTATGCTCTTGCCACATTCATCTTCTTGGAGTATTTCAACTACATTGTCCCATATCTCCTCAGTTGGATCCATCCATAAATAATGTTGACTAATGTGAGGCTGCATAGAGTTTCAATATTGGAAATATGATTTCCATGTGCTCATTTAAAGTCATTTTATGTCTCTATATCCTTTCTTTATTTAATGAGACATTTATTTAAGGAATTTCTTTATGTATGTTTATTACTATTTAATCCAAAGGTTACATTATAAAGCATTTAGGTGATGAGTGAAATATCATGATTATGGATGACCTAGTTCCTTGTGGACCTAAGACATCACAAGTGTGGACTAGAGAAGTTGACTTTATGGTTGGCATGTGGACAGTTTATGGTGATATTTTAACTATTAGAGTGAAACTCCGAGCTGCCATGTGTGTATCATATGCATATTGATACTAATCCAACTGAGTTCAACCCATCACAAGATTCGTTAGTCACTGTCAATGATTATGATCAAACAGATGTAAAGACTTTTCTACCAGGACCTTAGAGATACTCAGGATAGTGGTATTATGATAAATTTGCTTTGACATACTGTGGGTGAGGTTATTATTGAATTATAACCGACACACTAGGTATGATTTTTTATCAATAACTGAAACTTTTTGATAAAAGAAATTAGAAAAGGTACATAAACAAATAGTAACATAGTGTATGTTGCGAAGCGGAAAATGACATTGTAATCTTGGGGATTGCCAACAAGAAATCTACACCCTCAGACAAGAAGAGATTGTCACATGAATTGTGTTTCACCTAGTTCAACCTACACCCCTTATTATGGTAATAATCGAATGTCACTACTAATGATGATAAACTTCAAATCCTTGCATTGACAATTTGAACCTTTCTACAACATCTTCTGGCTCATTGTCTTGAAAGAAAGTATTTCTTATACCTAAACTAAGCGCCAATGTAATTTCAATTGGACAACTTGTTGACAATGGATATGATGTTCATTTCTCATGTAATGGTTGTTTGATTCAAGACCAGCTCACTGGGAAAGTGGCAGAGAGTGGTCGTAAGGTTAAACATCTCTTTGCATTGAAATTTAATCGTGACTACTCCACCAAGTTGTTTTATGCCTCTTCCAGGAATTCTCATGATACTTTTTGGCAGCTTGGGCATCGTTGCTTAGGTCATCCTCATCATGATCAATTGTGTTTGATTGAGAAGAGAAGAAAAGAGAGAGAGAGAAAGAGAAGAGAGAAGAGAAGAGAGGTTCGATTGAGAACCAAAGACTAAAGGGCTGGCCGGCTACCAGCTTTCTTATTTATATTCCCTTAACATAATAACCAAAGACTAAAGGAACTAGCTAACAGCACCTAGGTTGACTAGGCTGACAGCAAAATAACAGCAAACCAAAATAAGTTTCCCAACACTCTCCCTCAAGTTGGGCTGTATATGTCTATCATGCCCAACTTGTCACACAACTCATTGTGCCGCAAGTATGGAAGTCCTTTTGTGAGGACATCAGCAAGTTGTTCCTTAGAGTTGACATAAGGGATGTAAATTTCCCTTTTTTCTAATTTTTCCCTTATGAAGTGTTTGTCCACTTCAATGTGCTTGGTCCTCTCATGTAGGACAGGATTGTTGGCGATGTTAATGGCTGCCTTGTTGTCACAGTAAAGAGACATAGGATTATGAACAACAACTCCAAGCTCCCCTAGAAGATTTTTTAGCCAAAGAACTTCAGCCACCCCATGTGCCATAGCTCTATACTCCGCTTCAACACTTGACCTTGCTACCACACTTTGTTTATTGCTTTTCCAAGTCACTAGGTCTCCTCCCACAAATGTGCAATACCCATTTGTGGACTTTCTGTCATCCACAACACCTGCCGAATCAACATTTGTAAAGACTTCCACCTTTAGATGATTATGCTTATTGAATAGTAAACCTGTTCTTGGATACTTTTTTAAGTATCTAATAACTCTCTCTGCTGCCTCCAAATGAGGTTTCCGAGGAGAGTGCATGAATTGGCTCAGGACACCAACTGAATAAGCAATGTCTGGACGAGTCATGGACAAATAAATTAACTTTCCCACTAACCTTTGGAATTGTTTTACATCTTTCAGAGGTTTACCATCACAGTTACCCAATTTATGATCAACACCCATAGGAGTATCTGCTGGTCTTGCACCTAACTTGCCTGTGTCTTGTAATAGATCAAGAGTGTACTTCCTTTGAGAAATGAATATACCCCCTTTAGAGCAAGCAACTTCAATTCCAAGAAAATACTTTAGAGGACTTAGATCTTTCACTTCAAATTTAGATGCAAGGAATTGTTTCAATTGTTGTATTTCTAAACTCCAATTTCCTGTGATGATAATATCATCCACATACACTATCAAAACAGCAACCTGTTCCTAACATCTCTTCACAAAGATCGTGTGATCGGACTGACATTGCTTGAACCCTACTTGCTGAACTGCCATATGAAACTTACTGAACCAAGCCCTGGGAGATTGTTTCAAACCATAGAGAGACTTTCTTAGCTTACACACCTTATTCTCACTTTCTTAGCTTACACACTTTATTCTCACTTCATCTACAAGGTCAGGAGGTACCCAGCCCAATAGTGGAAGGTCTACACTCCATGATTAAAGGGGGGTTTGGAAAAGAACACCTGCTGCTGATGCAGATGGGCCCAGTGCCTATTGGGCCTTTACTAAAGCTAGAAACTGAGGTCCAATCATCTAAGGACCAAGATGGCATACAAAAGGTGATAGGCCAATTTCCAGAAGTCTTTAGAGACCCAGATCAGCTTCCCCCAAATCGGTTCCAAGATCACCGTATACCTCTAATTCCAAGGGCAGCCCCTACTAACGTGTAGCCCTTCAGATACCCGCATTTCGAAAAAACTGAGATTGAGAGGCTCGTTAAGGAGCTCCTGTACAAAGGATGGATACAGCCTAGTACGAGCCCATTTTCGTCCCCAGTGCTCCTTGTAAGAAAGAAAGATGGGTCCTGGCGTTTTTGTGTAGATTACCAGGCCCTGAACCATATCACCGCCAAGGATAAGTTCCCGATCCCGGTTGTGGGTGAACTATTAAATGAGCTGGGGCAAGCCAAGTATTTTTCCAAAATGGACCTCCAATCCAGCTATCACCAAGTCCGGGTCCACTCTGAAGATGTATACAAGACAGGTCTGACCGACCAATTTTGGCACCTTCCAATCCCTCCAATCACTGCGTGTCCGTGCGGGAGGCCAGCTTGCTGCCATTGTTAATGTAGCGGAACTGATCCGGGAGGAGTTTTACTTCAGGTTCAGATCTGAAATCCCTAAAAATCCAAGTTATTTTGCCGTTTCCAGCATGGTATTTCTTGTGCTTATTGCTGTATACATACTTGAGGTATTGCATGTAACTTGTCTTTCTGTCCACATCATTGTCCAATCACAATGAGATTTTCTTAGTAGGTAAACCAGGTCTGGGCGACACCAGTTACAGTTTCCCTTCAAACAGATGTTTTCCCAAAGAGTTCAACGAAGATCTCCCTTGCTGAAATCGCAGTCAGAGTAACCAGGATTAGGGTTGATTGAAACAACCCTAGCTTCAGTCGATGAGTCCAAAAACCAGTAGGATTTGAGAGGTTAATGAGTGAACATAGAGCAGATACAGTCTACGGAGCAACCTGCTCTGATACCATGTCACACATTCAGTTCGTACAAGAGAGTTCAACAGGTTTAGGGTGAAAACAGAATAATTGATCCCACCCCAAAGAGGCAGAATATATAAATATATATATATATATGAAATATGTGTATTTACAGAAAAGCCCCAGGCAAATATGATTTAAAGGAATTTTTCCTAAATATTTTAACATATGTTATCTGCACGATACTGAAAATCAGATATGCACAAAGCAACTTTTGACCAAATGAAATGAAGAAAGTATTCTTGTATAATGCATTTGATAAGTCAAATCCTGATGAGCATTCCTAATTTCCATTAGCAATTGTAGAAACAACGACTACATAAGTTGCCACTTCCAAAGTATGTACAAAGCAAATTAATACATACCAGCCCCTCCAGTATCCTTCAGTTTCTTCTAGCCGTGTTCGGTAAATATAACTGCCATACGCCTTCATAATTAGAGACATGGTTGTCTAATATAGAATTAGAAAGTGTACATTTTGTAGAATATGGTATGCAGATAATAAATAAAGAAAGAGCAAAAGAGAAGAGGTGAAGAAAACAGCAGAGAGAAAAGATGAAATCTGTTGATTGAGGAGAAAAAAGCTCAGCTTCCCAGCCAGCCAGGATATATGTGGATAAGGTCATATGTGAAAGCATAATTACAAGTATCCCTTGTTCAAGCAATTATCGTATTTCCTAAACTACCACATTTAAGAAATAAAATAAAAAGACATATATACCCCAGATCTAAACAAATAAAACAAAGAATAAATAATATAACAGCATATATAACATAACAAAAACTCTCAATACTGCCCCTCAAGCTGGTATATATGTTATATAGACTAAGCTAGTTACTGAGAAAGCCAATCCAAGGCCGATGCAACGCCTTGGTGAACAGATCTGCTAGCTGATTTTTCATTTCTCAGAAATTGTGTATCCACAACACAACTTTGAATCTTTTCTTATGGCAATAAACCTCAATGTGCTTTGTCCGTTCATAAAAGATAGGGTTTGATGTAATATGTACAGCAGCCTGGTTTTCACAAGATGCATAGAAGTGTCACTGTGATCTTCATCATCTCCTTAAGTAAACTTTTAAGCCATATTATTAGCTCACATGTAGTAAGACTCATGGAACAATATCCGGCTTCAGCAGTAGGTTTGGTCACCGCAATTTCCTTCTGGCCTTCTAAGAGACTAGAAACAACTAGGAACGTATAATATCCCATAATAAATTGGCAAACAATAGATGAACCAACCAGCCCTGCATTGTTAAACTCCAGCATGATCAACTGTCCAATGATCCTAAATAATATTCCTAGACCTGGTGACTCTTTCAAAAATCGTAATATCCTAAATACTGCTTCAAGGTGGGGTTCTCTAGGTGAGCATATGAATTGGTTAATAAAACTAGTAGCAAAGATATATTAGGATGAGTGATGGTCAAATAGTTCAGCTTTTCAACCAGCCTTCTATACAGTCGTGGATCATCTATCTATCTATCTATCTCAGTGTTTTAAAAGTGCAAGACCCAAAAAAGGCGCAGGGATCAATTTGCACCCGAGGCGCAAGGCACAAGGCGAGGTGGCACCTTTCTGAAGCAAGGTGCAAAAATTAAAAAAAAAATGCTAAAAATAAAAAAAAAAATGTCAGAAAATTCAAAAATGCCAAAAAATAAAAAAAAAATCAAAAATATAAACTTAAATTTTAAAATAAATGTTTTAAAAAATAAAAAACCTATTATCTAAAATTAAAATACATAAACTTAACATGTAAAGCATATTCAAATTAAAATTTAAAAGTAAAATCAAACATATAAAACATTTTCAAGCATGTAAAACCCGCAATCTCATTTTCAAACATATAAAACATTCCTTGTCGCCTAGCCTCGCCTTGGTGCCTTGAAAACTATGGTTTAGACATTAGTTTGGGTCCAAGCTAGGGTTCATATTTAGGTTGGCCCTTAACCTAACCCACCCAATCCATCAAATTTACACCCCTTCTTTTTTAGAGAGAGCCAAAAGGGTTCTAAAAGTGATTTTAGAGGAAAAGAGGGATTTAATGGGGATGGGAGATAACACAAACATTGACTATTAAGGTGAGAGAGAGAGAGAGATTTAAGAATGGTCTTACTAGAGAGTAAATATGGATTTTATGAGAGACAATAAAGTCCAGTGAGAGTGTTAATTTTGCCTTGTTATATTTTTTTTATTTCATTTAAAAAATAAATATGTACATGTGTGAGAAAGGAGTGGAGGAGGCCCCTGAGAGCACTGTAGTGAGAGGACTCCTCACCTCCCCTATTTCCTATTTCTATTATATTGCCACCAGACTTGTTTTCCAAAGAACAAGGGTTTAGTAGGAACAATAATCTGAGAAGGTTTGTTTGAAAAACTATTCTAGTGGTTACATAAGATATGAAGAGAGCTCCAATGCCCAGATAACCATGGTTAAACTTGATGACACCAATTTTTTGAAATGGACTCAATCAATGAAATTATCTATTGGAGGATGCGAGAAGATGGGTATTCTTACAGAGAGAGAGGTGAAACCAAATATCATCCTACTTATAATCGATGGGAGCAGGACAAATTATTTGGCATATCATGGCTTGATTGCTCTTTGCATTCTCACATTGCCCAGAACTAAATGTCGTTGATTATAGTGAAGGAGATATAGGATAGGTTTAATGCTACTTATTTCCAGGATAAGAACATAGTGAAGGTTTATCAACTCCAATGAGAGGCCAATAATTTGAGGCAGGGGAGAGAAGTCTGTTGTTATGTACTTTTCTTCACTGCAATCTATCTAGGAAGAGATGGATCACCCTGAAGCTCTAGAATAGAGGAATCCATGCTGAACAGTACAAGAAATTTATTGAGAAGACTCGAGTTTTAGATTTTTAGCAGGGTTAATTCTGGAGTTTGTTTTCATGAGGCACCAATCAGATTTAACATGGCTCTCAAAGTTGTGTAAAGGAGTACAGAAGAAGGCAGGTCAGAAGATAAGGGAGAACCAGTATACTGTAATCCTTGCTCTGACACCATCCCTGTAAAGATGACAAAGAAAGAGCAGAATAGGAGAACAGAACAACAGAGAGAAGATTTTCCAATTGAGGAGATATACTCAACTCTCCCAGTCAGCCAGGTCACTAAATAATAAATATAAATAATCTCATAACTGAAAAAATAATTACAGGCATGCCCCTTCTTAAGAAATTACTGTAGTTCCTAAACTACCCCATTTAAGTCATCATCATCCATACCTTATCCCAACTATATGGGGTTGGCTACATGAATCCTGTTTTGCCAACCTGTTCTATTTAAAGCCATACCCACTGCAAATTATTAGTGCTTAAATCATTTCTTACTACTTCTACCCATGTCCTTTTTGGTCTACCCTGAGCTCTTCTAGCCCCTTCAGTGTGTAACAAATCACTTCTAACTGGCACAAATTACTCCATTTAAGCAACAGCATAAATACCCCAGATCTAAAGAAAAATAAAACAAAAAAAAGACATCAAGAAAAAAAAAAAAGCAAAAACTACACACCATCAGAAAGTATATATGGCAAGTATGATACAAATGAGAACACTGGTTGTATTGTTAAACAGATATCTGTTGACAATGGAAGTTCTTACCATTTCTTTGAGTCATCATACTTCAAAGTCGACGGAATGGACAGCCGAGCAGACTCAATGTTCCTTAATGAGCCTCCTTTCACACTCCATTCAATCTATGAAAAACTTCTTCATTTAAATACACTAAGTTGATAATAGCAGACTATGACAGCAAACAATATGATACAATCATTTTTTTCTAGTAAAAGAAATAATTTATTAAACAAAAGAGAAATTCAAACATATAGAAGACAAGGATTTATGGCCCAAGCATCAATGCCAAAATAACTTATATATAGCATTAATATCAAACATAACAACCAGACAGATGACAACCGCACAACTGAAATGTTCCCACGGCAAGAGCATCCACAACAGCTTTCTTTTTAGTAAAGTCTCCATTGTATTAAATTTGTCATGGCAAACCTCCCAACAAAAGGCTCTGATTTTGGGTGGGGTTGGACCTTTCCAAAAGTTTCTTAGAAGACAATTTGAAGAGGAGAGGAAGTCCCTAAAGAGATCAAGGAAGAAGTCCACGTCCACGTCCATCCATTAGAGTCCACGTCCCTAATAAACGTCAGGAAACAGGGAGAGATGGCTGAAATAGTTTTCCAGGTGAGGAAAAAGCTCTAACATGAAGTCCACGTCCCATCCATTAGAGTGTAATCCGTGAATACTTTCGATAACCTGGTGCCAAAGCTTGTGTTAATTAGTGGGGAATCTCCACAGCCATTTACCCAGAAGGGCAATGTTTCTTGAAGTTACTTGTCCGATCCCTAACCTCCCTTACTCTTTACACTTGCACACTGTTTCCCAATTAATAAAATGGTCCTTTTTCCTTTCTCTCAGTTCCTAAAGAAAATCTCTCATTATCTTTTCAATTCTTTTCGCTATTTAGACCGAGATTTTAAACATAGAAAGATAGTAAACTAGGAGATTGCTGAAAGTGGATTTAATGAGTGTTATCCAACCACCAAGGGAAATGTAATTCTTCTTTCAAGCTGCTAGCCTTTTAGTAAATCTATTAATGATCGGATTCTAAAAACTAGAACACTTCGGGTTTCCCCCTAGTGGAAGACTGATATTTGATGGGCCACTAAGCAATTGCACACCCTAAGATTTCTACATATCTCTTTGAGACACTCTCATCTAAGTTTAAACCCACTAAACAATCATTCTCCAAGTTTACTTTCAGATTAGTGCTCCTCTCAAAGAATTTTACCAAAATCTGAAAATTTCTCACATCCTCTTGCCCCCTATCCTGACAAAAAAAAAAATCATTACATCGTCAACAGAGGGAGTGTGAGACCACCACTTGTTCCCTACCTACTGGTCAGCCTTTCAACAACCCTAACTCATCTGCTTTCTGAATCAAACAACTCAGGACATCCACCACAATATTAAACAAGAATGGAGATGAAGGGTCTTCTTGTCTAAGGCCTCACCTAGCTGGGAAAAAATCCTTAGCTGTGTGTCATTTATATTCTGTAGTTAGTTTGTCAACTAGACAACCATCTTGTTGAGATGTACGGGTTTGGTTTCCAGTTTAATGAATTTTCTTTGACCTTTCAAAAAAAATCCTTAGCTACCCCGTTGGCCAAAATGGATGACAAGAATGAGTACAGCCCCTAATTCATTTCCTCCATCTATCACCAAACCCACAATTCATCAAGGCTAAATCCAGGAATGACAAATCAACAAAATCATACGCTTTCTCCAAAAGTCCAAATCAAGTTTGCAAACCCAGCCTTTGCATCTTCCTCTTCTTATTTCCTCTACACTTTAATTGCCAATCAAGATTTGGTCTATAATTTGCCTACCTGAGATGAAGGCCCATTGGTTTTGAGGGATTAGTAGTGGTAGCACTTTCTTCAGTCTCAAGGAAAGGACTTTGGCAATAATTTTGAAAAGGCTCCATACAAGGCTGATGGGCCTGAAATCCTGAGGTCTAGAGGCAGTCAGGGACTTAGGGAGAAGGGAAACAAAGGTGGCATACTCCTCTATTGAGGACACCCCTCTCATGGAATTCCCTAACCACTCCTAATAACTCTCCTTTAATAATCTACCAGCAATTTTGGAGAAAAAAAACCATTGTAAAATCATCTGGTCCAAGGGCTTTAGAAGCATCCATCTCAAACACTCCATTTTTTTTTATTCAGTCTCCTCAAAGGTTTCTCCAGTTCCGCAACTGACTGACTCTCTATCTAGTCTCTGCCACCCCAAACCACTGACAGAAAGCCTTGGAGGGGGTGAGGAGCCAAATAAATTTTTAAAATGATCAACTAAGCATTTTGCTATCAGCTCACGATCAAGAATTACTTCACCATTCACAGCCAGCATCAAGTTGTGGTTCCTTTTACTCCTATTGTTTGCTAGCTGATAGAATAACTTAGTGTTGCTATTCCCTTCTTTTATCCACCTGCTCTAAGACTTTTGCCTCCAACATTATCTCTTCTCTTCTTAGTATCTCGTTCAACTTACTTTTTAGTTCATGTCTTAAAGTTCGGTCTTCCTCCCTCATATCACCCACACCTTCCTTCAAGTCCAATTCCCCAATTTTGTCCAATAGGTTCTCCTTTTCCTCCCCTATTAGCCCAAACACCTCTTTATTCTAATCTTTCAACTCCCCTTTCACCTTTTGTAATTTTTTGGTGAAATTGTAACCCTCCCATTTAATCTTGACACTATCACCCCACCATCTTTTGATGTTTTCAGTGAAAGTAAAGTGTGAGAGAGACATGTTCCCAAACGTGAAAGGGCTACTACCTATCTCTTCTTGAAAGTTGAAATAGCATAATGGGGCAATGGTCTGACACAGGTCTAGGTAGGGCAAAACAAACCAATCTATCCCAAAATTCTTCCCAATCAACAGAAAATGGAAACCTTTGTAGCTTAGAACAAACAAGGTTGTTTTGAATGTTCAACCATGTAAATTTGGCTTGACACAAGGGGTATTCCTTTAGGCTATGTTTGGTTTGATGGAAAAGGTAAGGACAGGAAGGGAAAGGTAGGGAAACCTATACAAACCAAACATAGCTTTAGGGAATGATCATTGATATAAGAGTTGAAGCTCCTCATACTAGTAGAGATGGAGTGATTTTGAGGAGAGGTTTCAGTGGAGAGTCTGATAACATTGAAGTCTCCCCCAATCACACAGGGACCACCCCAGAGTCCTCTAATAGAGTAGAGTTCTTCCCACAGTTCCCGCTTTACCCTATAGGAATTTGATCCATAGACATTAGTCAGGACCCATGTGAAACCAACTACATCTCTTGATTTTACTGAAACTATTAAGTTTCCTATCAATGATGGGGACATACTCCATTTAACATTCCCCAGAAGCTCCCCACAATGGGAGCATACTCCATTTAACATTCCTTCCCTTCCAGAAGTTCCTAATCCAACAAATATCTATCTCTATCAGCTTTGACTCTTGGAAGAAAACAAATTTCAATTTCTGCTTGAGTACGAGACTCTTTATAGATCTCCTCTTTCTAGTGCTACCCATACCTCTGACATTCCACCTAATGATTTTCATCTTACCTCCCTTAGTCCCTTACTGAGCCCCTAATCCAACAACATGTCTACTTCAACCCACCCTCTTCCCTTTCCATCAGCCTTCCCTCCAAATTTATCATAATTAATGTTGCATCGGAGGTTTTCAAGTTCATTTCTCTTCTTCCACTTCTAAAACCTCCTCCTTTAGTTTTACAACCATAGACCTTAACTACCGAAAACTCTCACCACCTTTTTTTTTCCGAAGTCTCAGGTTGCAGCCACAATTTAATCAATAACTCCTTCACTTTCTCTTCCATATCTCCTTCTACCTCAGCTTGCTCATTGACCTAGCCACCATATATACCTGCCTCTTCACCCAAAACTTCAATAGCTTTGGCACCCTCCTCTTCCCCCATCAACAATTCCTCAAACTTCTCCTGAACTAGGTTTCAGATAAACTCCCCAACCTGGGTAACTTCCATGAGCTTATTGTTTATCCCCAAAGATTCAGACAAGTAGAGGCCTTGATCACTAACTCTCTATTGAATGGGCGTGTGCTCTGCATAACCAACAAGAGGAAAATTAGTTCTGAACGAACAAGGCACAACAAACGGAGCAAAAGAAGGGAGCAGAAGGGTTAACAAAAGCTTGAGGAACAACACTTAGGTTAAGAGGTATCCCTTTTTTAGGAGACAAAACAGCAAAGTCACTAGGTGTCGCTTTTCCTGAGCTTCCCCATGGACACCCTGAGCTAGTGTCTTGGTCTAGAGATAAGGTTCTCTCCTTATTCAGAGACCGAGTCGAACTCCCCTACAGGTCTGAAAAAGTCAATCTCCGAACATCTTTCTTAGGATCTTTGTTATCGGTCCCCACTGAAAGCTAAATTACTGTAGCCGAAGTAGTAGAAAAGAGAAGAAGAAGAAGAAGAGATGCAGGAATGTCGAACTCTCTACTCAGTCGACAGTACTATTATTTATATTATGGTGTAGTACAATGATACAGGAAGTTACTAGAATG